TCCCCCCCCGCCCGCCCCTGCCTCTGCCGCCGGCCCGGGGGCCGCAGGTCCGGCGTCCTCCCCGCCGCCCGCAGGCCCCGGACCCGGGCCTGCTCTGCCCGCCGTGCGCCTCAGCCTCGTGCGCCTCGGGGAGCCCGACGGCTCTGGGTCGGGAGAGCCGCCTGCCACGCCCGCCGGGCTGGGTGCAGGGGGAGACCGCGTCTGCTTCAACTTGGGCCGCGAGCTCTATTTCTACCCGGGCTGCTGCCGCCGCGGAAGCCAACGGGTGAGCGGCCGGCATCGCTGGGCCCTGAGCGCTGAGAAGCGGGGGGTCCCCGAAAGGACATGGGGCCCTGAGATAGGCACCTTCGATGCGGGACATCCATCCGGGGGCAGGATTCCGGAAGGTGATGAGAGACCTTCTGTCGCTGGGCATCATGGAAGTGATGGGTTATGCGTGGGGGTTCTGGGATGGTGAACGTTCTGGATCCGATAGGGCATCCGAGATGATGCCGGAGCCCTCGAGGTCTCGGGCGGCATGCATTCCGCCCACAGTGGAGAACTCTGAAGTGACGATGCAGGGTCGGATGCCACTGAGAACCCAGAAGCATTGCAGTCCCAAGGTGTTAGAGCGGGGTCTTGAGACTTGGGGAGCCCAGAAATGAGTTGCTGGGAGGTAGTAGAGATCCAGAGGGCAGATGGGTTCCTTGAGAAAGCTGGGGTTTGGGTAGGGAAACCCTCCGGGGCAGTGGGGATCTCCAAAGTGATGTAAGCCCTGATGGGTGAGACTCAGGTTTATAGTGGTCCCTGGAAATGATTCAGATCCTGCGAGCCCAGGGATAAGGTACCTAAAACACAGGGACTGTGATGTTTGATGGGTCCCCAAATGGGGTCTTGAGGTTTAGGGAGGTCAAAGTGAAGGGAATCCCGGGATGCTGGATTTTAGAGCCCTGGGGAGTTGAGTGACCCTGAGGTTCTGGAGTCTTGGAGATTTGTGGTGCTAGGTCCCAAGGGAGTTGCTGAGGTTACCGAGAGGCACAGGGCTGGAAGGGAATCATGCTCAGGGACTGTGGGGACCCTAAACCCTGATTCTCTGGGCAGGGGTGTACCTGTATTCAGGGTGGGAGGCACTGTGGTCTGGGGAGAGGGATCCTTCCCATCCGCTTTTTCCCCCTCCTCTGCCTGAGATCTGAGTCCCCTTCCTGTCTGTGGTTACCCCCTCCCTCTTCACCCACCCACCCACCTACCTACCCACTTCCCTTGAGGACTTAACCCTGCTTCCTCTTAGTGGTTTTCCCTGACCTCAACACCCTCTTCCTTCCTCTCAGTGGCATTAACTCCTTTTCTCCCACCGTTCAAGTCCATTGACCTCAACAAGCCAATTGACAAGCGGATCTACAAGGGCACCCAGCCCACCTGCCACGACTTCAACCAGTTCACTGCTGCCACAGAGACCATCTCCCTGCTGGTGGGCTTCTCGGCCGGCCAGGTGCAGTACCTGGATCTCATCAAGAAGGACACCAGCAAGCTATTCAACGAGGAGGTGATTGCGGCCCCCAGAGCTGCCCCTTTCCATCCACCCACACGCTGCTCGCCGTAAGCCTGCAGCTGCCAGGAGAGCAGTGTCGTTCTGGGGGGCAGGATGAAGTAGAGCAGGGCAGTGGGGTGACAGACCACAGCCAGTGACGGCAGCCATGCATGCTGTGGCCAGGCCCTGTGTGGTGTCAGCCTGTGCCGGACGTGTCATTCCCCGAGTTCTCATATGCCTGGTGAGGGATTGTGATACCCCGCTCTCCCAACTCTGGGCTTTGGACTCAACCTGTGATGCTCCTTTTACTCACCATGTGACGTGGGAAGGCGACCGTCCTCTGAGCCCTGGGTCTCCTCTGCAAGAACAGTGTCCTTAAGGGCTGTGGTAACACCCTCCATTGCCTAGGCCTGGGCCACTTTGGCACCAGGAGAAATGTCCATGGAGTGACCTTACCCGTGCCCTGCTCTCGTCCTGTATGTCACTGTCTCTGGCCTAAAGGAAGAGGTCTATCAGTATTCCCAGAATGAGCGAATGAAGAGAGGGAGTGAAATAGGGACTGGATTAAAAATTCATTAGCTCACCCATTCACAAATAGTTCTTGAGCATCCATTCTGAGCCAGGCAGGCTTCCAAGGGATGCCACTTCTGAGTAAAACAGACAAGAGGTCTGCCCTGTGGTTCCTTCTCGAGCTGGAGAGACAGATGGTTGTCAGATACCTTAAGTAGACTGGAAACCAGCGGGACGGGCTGTGGGGTGCTGGGTGAGTTTAAATAGGGTGGGCCAGAACGGCCTCGCTGGGAGCTGACACCGGGAGAGCCGAAGGTGGTAAGAGGAGTTCCCTGGGAAGGACATCTCAAGTGGAGGGGCCAGCTAGGACAGATATCCTGGGTGGAGACAGGATGGTGGATGGATTCCCGGAACTCGTGGGAGGGAGGGGGAAGGTTTGGAGAGTCTGGAAGGGTGGAAGAAGTTTGCCTTTCGTAGTGGAAGCCCTTGGGACAGCCTCTGTCACCCAGGCTCATCTGAGCAGAAATGGCTGGAGTGACACGTTTGTCAGTTGTGGGTCCCCAGGAGAGAAGCTCGTTCACACATAGGGGCCGCATTAGGCTGGCGAGGCTGCGGTGCGCAGGAGCGGGCCGGGACTGGGTGCCGGCTGCTGTCGAATGCAGCTCCCTGTTGTCTGTCGTGCATAGACCTGGACTGTGGGGCCTGGAATCTGGTCAGGAGCACAGCATGGTGGCCGCTGGGCCCTGGGGCTCGGGCTGGGCAGTGAGTAGCAGTCAGGGTCTGAGAATATTTTGAAGGTGGAGCCCACAGGGCTTGTTGTAGGAGATGTAAGTTGTGAGAACAAGGAACAGAGATACCTAAGCTTTTGATCTAAGCAGCTGCCAGGGTGGTGTTGTCATGCACTGGTCCAGAAAAATCTCTGCAAGCCCCGCTCCTGCCCCCTGAGGGCTCTGCTCCCTGTGCCAGGACTGGAACAGGCCCCCAAACAGACCACAGCCTCTGTCCTGAGGAGCTGCATTCTCTGGGCACTCCTGCCTTAAGCCTGCCCTGGCAAGCTAGAGAACAGTTCTCTGGTAGGCAAGGCTGTCCCCTCGCCCAGGTGGGACATTGAGGCTCTGGGGGCTCCCTGTGCCACATCCCAGGCAGCCCTGATTCCCTGTGTTCTACAGCTGGTGTCCACATGGTTCCCTTAATTTGGAAGCTGCCCCCCCTCTTTATTCATGATAGAACACATGTGTGCACATGGCGAGGTGAGCACCCTCGTGGGGTCTGGTCACAGTGTGGTCCCCTCCTGCAGTCCAGCCTGTGGGGTCCTGGGCACTTGCACGTGCTTGGCATGTCTCAGGCTGACCGGGTGGGATTCAGACCACGTTGGCCAGGGGGCCTCCACCTTCTCTAGGGCCTTGTGTTACCATGGTGCCGCGGAGTAGGCTGTCTCCTCGTGTGTCTCCAAGGAGGGCCTGGGCCTGGCGAGGCACCAGCTTTCTGGTCGAGGCCCCCGCGAAAGGCCCTGGGGGGACCAGGTCAGGAGGAGGTTTGCTGGGGTTTCCTGCCTTCTCCCAACCCCGAGCTTGTCTCTCTGGCAGCGGCTGATCGACAAGACCAAGGTGACGTACCTGAAGTGGCTCCCTGAGTCGGAGAGCCTGTTCCTGGCGTCCCACGCCAGCGGCCACCTGTACTTGTACAACGTCAGTCACCCGTGCGCCTCGGCCCCACCCCAGTACAGCCTGCTGAAGCAAGGCGAGGGCTTCGCTGTCTACGCTGCCAAGAGCAAGGCGCCCCGCAACCCGCTGGCCAAGTGGGCGGTGGGCGAGGGCCCCCTCAACGAGTTCGCCTTCTCGCCCGACGGCCGGCACCTGGCCTGCGTCAGTCAGGACGGCTGCCTGCGCGTCTTCCACTTCGACTCCATGCTGCTGCGCGGCCTCATGAAGAGCTACTTTGGGGGCCTGCTGTGTGTGTGCTGGAGCCCCGATGGCCGCTACGTGGTGACGGGGGGCGAGGATGACCTGGTCACTGTGTGGTCCTTCACCGAGGGCCGTGTGGTGGCCCGGGGTCACGGCCACAAATCCTGGGTCAATGCCGTGGCCTTTGACCCCTACACCACACGGGCCGAGGAGGCTGCGGCAGCCAGTGGTGATGGGGAGCGGAGCGGCGAGGAGGAGGAGGAACCAGAGGCTGCAGGCTCCGGCCCCAGCTCTGGCAGGGGCGTCCCACTGTCACCGCTGCCCAAGGCGGGCTCCATCACCTACCGCTTCGGCTCGGCGGGCCAAGTTCTGCCTGTGGGATCTGACTGAAGACGTGCTCTACCCACACCCACCCCTGGCCCGCACGCGCACCCTCCCCGGCACGCCCGGCACCACACCACCAGCCACCAGCAGCTCTCGGGGTGGTGAGGCTGTCCCGGGCCCCCTCCCCCGCTCGCTGTCCCGCTCCAACAGCCTCCCACACCCTGCGGGCGGTGGCAAGGCTGGTGGCCCCGGCGTGGCAGCAGAGCCAGGCACCCCGTTCAGCATTGGCCGCTTTGCCACGCTCACACTGCAGGAGCGGCGGGAGCGCGG